GTGTCACGTCTTTTAATAATGTTATAATAAATTGATGTGCAAGTGTTGTTGAACTAATTATAGCATATAAATAGTCTTGTGCACCACCAATATTAACAATTCCTGTTACTTTATCATAAGCAGTACTAAACCGCATACGTACAATATCCCGTTTTGTTGTACTCGAATTATCGTTAAACCAATCCATTGCTGAACGATTATAAAAATCTAAATTTTCGTGAACTTGTATTAATTTACCTTCATATATTTTAGTTTTTGAAAGTGCAATTGCTTCTTGTACATAACCTTGAACTTGAGTTTCTAACGAAACTTCCTCTTCTTCAAATTTGGGACCCATTAATGACCATATAACAGTAAAACCTAATGCTAGAAATGGTCCAACACCAGGTATGACACCTAGTAAGGTTTGTGCTGATGCAACAGCTAAAGTTAATATATCATTAGATGTTATATTAATTTCTGTTTTAAATGAAAATGCACGTTTATTAATTTGTAATAATATTAGTGAATTTAACAATTTTGGTTTAATATTGCCAGTACTTCTAACTGCAATAGCAATATTGCTGCGTTTACCAACTTCACGGGAAATTGCTGCTGCTACATCACCACCAACTGGTCCACAACTGAATACCAGCAGTAGCAGTAGTAGTGTGATACCGGGTTTAATACGCATTTTTAAATCTCTGCTGTATAATTAAAGTGTTATTCTTCTGCTGGTTTATATTTCAACTTTAATACTTATGTGACCTGTGGAGGTTGATTTATCGTCATGCACGAGCAATTTAAAAACAAACTTTATTCTCTCTTCACTTCTCTTATTCGTCGTATACCAATTAAAGATGAAGAAACAAGCGAAACAGAAAAGAAACATTTCTTCGTCTCTACTGTTCGACTATTTTAGCCACATTTTGCTTATTCTTTTGTTTGTTAAATAATACAGTACTGTATTATTTAACAAATGCTTTGCTATCAGAGCATGGATACTTGTACTTGTACTTTCTGTACTTTTCAAGTACAAAGTAAAAGTGTCCTTGTGTACTTTTACCAAGTACTTTGTACTTGCACTATGAGTATCTTTCAAGCAGTTCAGGTGCTTTGATTCCATTCAGGGGTACTTTCGCAGTTCAAGAATAATGTGTCGTGAGCTAACACCTATGCGTGAATGAATTTTGTTACGATCTGTTCATCTGTTTTCTTAAAGAAGCATTTCTTCAGTGGGGTCTCATTAGCATACAATGTTCAGTAGTATTTTAGTGATAAGTGGAAAATTTAATAATTCGTACTCCACACGTTTTCGAGACTTTTACTTTTACTTGTCCATGCTCTGGTACCAGTTATGGAAAACTTCATACATGACAAGCAGCACGTACAACTAACAGCAGCGACATCATCTGCAGTTAATAATAAAATACACTTGTTTTTCTATTGCTTTATTGCTGATAAGATAGTTTACAATGAATAACGAAGAATCATTGTTACCTCACGAACGGCGTTTCGGTGCGATTGAAAGTCGCTCATGTATACTCGTGATTGAAATGATTATGTGTTTTTAACTTACTGGGAAACACAGAGAAGTCTCGATGGCTCGCTGGTTTCTGGCTTGCCTCGGTGTCACTTCACTAAAATCTACTCTTAAGATTAGCTTGTGTCTACACGTGATCAGTCTGTGTGGTGTTCTTGAAAAAGAATTTCCTTAGTGACTCGACTCTCGGCGAGCGGTCTTCTAAACAAAGCTCTGTGCTGTCACTACACAAACACATTATTAGATGCTATCCCTAGTCGATTTTCTTGCGCAAGAAATGTCACAAGATTTTGCTTTTTTTGGTGCAAGAAGCCTCTTTGATTTATGGTGATTCTTCTTGCTTTCTTCCAGGAAATAAACTACCAGCAAGAATGGGCAAGAAACGCAATTCTTGCTCTTTTGATCCAACTACCCAGGTGAATTTACACGCTCTAAACTTTCCATGGCCACACTAGATTTTCCACGGCAGGACACGTTACTTGGCCGTGGGCGTGGTCATGCGTGTTGTAAAGGCACGTCACGGGGTTTGCAAAAGTTCTTACGAGCTCGCCATGCCATGTGACTTGCTTTTCTGGCTACCCTAGAGAATCTCGACTTTGCCTGATCAGACCACTGATCAGTAAATTGGAATTACATAAGTCCTTGTGCTGTTTTCTTGGTCCGGATCTGTTTTTTTTCGTGAACAGTAAAAGAAATCAAGAACAGGAAGTTTGATTACATTATGTTTTACTCGGACTTTTCTTCGAGAACATGATTGAAACAGTTTTTGAGGTTTTCATCAGCCCCATGATCCGTTTAGGACTTCACAATCTTTATCTACAAATGAAAAAGGGATGTTTTTACGAATACATCAAAGAAAAAGGATTCAGTGTGAGTATACAGCAATTTTGGCTCTCTAATGCCTTATACTTTCTTGCGTTTTTTTGCCATAATGTTGAACTATTTTCGATCTGTTTTAAGTTAATAATAAGCTCTGAGACTTCCAGTCAAGAAATTTTCTATCTTGGATGAAGTTTTCTGTTTCGATTCATCTACTTCTCAATTATGACTCGATATATAACGGGCATTTGATCTCAAAATAAAGGTGAGAGCAGTTGATGTTTTATGGTTCGCGTGTGAATATTA